AAAGAAAAGAAAAGAAAAGAAAAGAAAAGAAAAGAAAAGAAAAGAAAAGAAAAGAAAAGAAAAGAAAAGAAAAGAAAAGAAAAGAAAAGAAAAGAGAAAAAGAAGGAGAAAAAAAGCCATATAGTATGAGCAAAGGAATCCAGTTTCTCAGAACTATAACTTTCAAATCCATCTGGTCTGGGAGAAGGACAATAAAAATATATGGAAAGTGATTAAGAAATACTCTACAATAGCCACTCTAGCTAGTTACCATGGGTCCTGTGGGTCCATCCACCTTGTGCATTCATACCACAGCTAAGCAGCTCCAGGAGATGCATAAATGAATATCATTGCCTCCAGTAAATGTAAGAGAAAGCAGACCAGCAGTCACTCGCCCAAGGCGATGCTTCAAATCAGCGTTAGAACTGGGAATAAAATTCCCAAATCATTCTGCTTTCCTGGTTTAGGCACCTATTCAGTGAATTGCAGCACAAGAAAAAAAAAAAAAAACCCAACCAAAAAAACCCAAACAAACAAACAAAAAAAAAATTCAAAAAAACCCAACAAAAAGCACACAGATAAAATTAACAGTTTGGTGTAAAGGGAAAATTATTTCAAGACAGTAGCATCGTGACTAGGCTAACAACAGCCAAATAAATATGCATTCAGAGCTCAATCAGAGTTTTCATCTAAAATGGGACTGCTGATAATCCCCAAAGAAAAGTGGGTAATTTAAATGCCCTGGGCATTATGAGGACACTTGTTCAAGAAAAATGCAGGCACACTGTGGCCAACAGTAACCACTTCACTACTTACAGTATATATATACTCTCTATATATGTGTTTGTACACACACACACATATATACACACTCTCACACAGACACAGAATACAGCTCTCCAGCTCTCCGTGATAATTCAGTAAGGTTAGAAGTGAAAAGGAGCTGCCTTGAAAGGATGACAGAAGTGAATGGAGACAGCAAGGCTCAGATGCATGCCCCAGTCAAACATCTGCAGGATACAGAAAATCAGAGCTATAAATATAGGCTAGAAATATACAGGAGTCACTGGTGCAATAGGCCAAGGGAGTTGTTTCAACACCTTGGCATGCTACATGGAATGATCTTTAAAATACATTAAAAGGGGAATATATAGTGAGAGTGAAAAGGCAGCACGTAAATGATTAAAGAAAACAATCTCCCACCCAGTTAATGCTCTGTTGGGTTATGTCCTGCACCAACACAGCTTCAAACTGATACCAAGGGGGCACCAACACACAAAGTGATTTTTCTTCCTCTTTTTCCTCTTTTCTTTTTTGTTTTAAATACTAAAACAAGGTTTCTTAAGAGCCGCAATTAAAATGCAACTGTTAACCCTAAGAAGGCAGAGAAGGAATTTTTCATGAGTGAAGTTTTATTCATAACTCAGTAATCCAGGGATTCTTTCATGTTTCTCAATAAACTTTAAACTAACCAACTCAATATTTGGATGGATGGCATATCTGGGAGTGCTTTGAAAATGTAATTTACTGCAAACGTAAGCAAAAGGCTCTTAGGATAGTTTTTTGATGCTTGAGGAGGAAGTCCTTGGAGAGACCATATACAGTGATATAAGGACAGGGACTAAATTCATCAGTCTTAAAGAAGAAGGGAGTGTAGTGCCCTCAGACTGTGGCAGAATCAGTCTTTACAAGTGTGAAATGTATGGCATTTGGATAAATGAACTGGATCAAGCCAAAACAAAAAACTAAAATGGAGATGAGACCACATAGGGGGCTCAGAGACAACTCAAAAACAGGAGATGGCTTGTGACTTGCAAGACAGGATGTAAAAGGCACAGTTAAGCCTGGGTGAGAAAGCCAAGAAGTAGGAATGCACAGCGCTACCAGATCCTATACAGAATACAAATCCTACTCATTTACCACAAACAAATGGAGATCTGCATGTCAAAGAAGGGATGAATGAATTGGGGCAGCAAGACTGCAGTCTGAAGAAGGAGCTAACAAGCTCCAGAAAGTGTTGTCCACATCCCACCCTCACCTTTGCTACTGACCCAGCACCAGTAGCTCTTTCTACACAGGAAGAACACTTTCAGTTGAACACCTGCCTAAATGCCCATCTCCTGGCATCATTTTGCCAAACATGCTGCCCCTGGTTTTCATGAAGAAAAAGCCCTGCATTCTTCATGAAGAGGAAAGGCAGAAAAGACTTGAAAATGTTAACCCTCAAGAGTTAGAAAGTAAAACCATGCATTGTTCCCTGTGCCATACTTGCAGCATGTCCCAAATACCCCTTCAAGACATGCCAGGAAGAAAGGCAACTGGTCTTATGCACTGCCTCAGTAGAAAGCTGATTTTTGGGATCCTGGTTTGGCACCCAGACAAAATTTATTCATGGTCCAAATCGAGACCAGAGTTCCGCATTTAAATCTCTCTTCTGCAGGCACAATTGTCATGTGAGCAATCATTTAAATCCCATTTTCTTTGGTAAGATTTTTAGGAGGAGAACAATAAGATGGCATGTGTGACTGCAACCCATCTCAGCCACCCGTGGGAACAGAGCAAACAATGAACTTTTTTACATAGTTTTTTGCTCTTGACTTAAAAGCAGAAATTCCTTTTTCAAACAACATTTATGGATAGTCATTGTGACCTGGACATGATTAAACTATATAAACTATAGATTAGTTTGGAAAATTCAACTGTCATAAATCAGTTGGATCAGAAATACTGAAAAAATAGCATAAAGCAGCAATGGTGCTTGTTGACAGAGCAAACTGAAACCCTTTAAAAGAGCAACTATTCCTGAAACATCAATTATGCACTGTCAGTTTTAGTAGCCAATTCAAGACAGAACATGAGAACACCAGACGTTACCAGCTGCAAATCTTATCTCAGTCCCAGAGGAAGAGGGAAAGACAAAAGCTTTAGATTATGTGCAATATACCAACAAATCAACAACAGGTTGAGTAAAGAAAGTGGAGGTTTAAGCAGCTACTGAAACCATGAGCTCAGCTGAATGACAATGTATATGTTGCATTAGTTTCCTCTTTTCCAAATGCAATAGAAGGTGTTGATCACAATCTTCTGAAAGCTTTAAACCTGTGCTGTAGTTAACAAAGATTCCGTGGTAAGTTATGAATACCTGGGTTTCACCCTGGTGTTAAACTCCTCTCCAGCAGCAAGAGGTGCTTTGCGAGAAAAATTCAAATCTTTGGAAAGCCCATCCTCTGAAACATCATGATCTTTACTATTGTAGCAGTCAGCTGTATTTTCATTTATGATTTTAGAACACTAACTACTGTAAAAGCTTCAAAGCCTAACAGTAAAGTGCTTACACAAGATCAAAGCTTTCAAGGTTTTTATTTATGTACTTGATAAAAAAATACATCATTGCTAGTCTTTGAGATGCCTGACAGCTATGTTCCTTTAACAAGAGCTCCTTCTCTAGTTCCAGTGCTTGATGGGAATGTGAGAGATTTCTACTCTGAGATGTTACCTAACACTAACTAGTCTAAAGTTCAGATTTCCCCTATATGTTCCTTAGGCCAGGCCACAGAGTAGACCTGAAAACTAGCACCTTCATTTTAAGATATATATAATAAAAGCCAGCAGGTGCTGCAGTGACTTCTACTCCATAGGCAAGGTTCTTTACAACAATTTAAATAAATTATTAGCAAATTAAAAGATTTTTCATTACACCATCCAAAGGTCCTTCACTATTTTCCTTTACAGATTACAATTTACCTTTTCCACCATAGTAAGAACAAAAGCAGAAAAAAAAAGGGCAACAAAAAGGCAGCCTTGCAACAAAAAGAGCACCTTTTCCGTAATCTTTCTTTGAAATGGTTCATTTGGGCTCAGAAAAAAACACAGCAATAAAAACAACGCAAAACTTAAATCTTCAACTTGCAGAAGAGTTATGACTGGCTTTATCTTCAAACAAGAAAGATCCTTTAAAGTTCCATTTCAAGACTTTGTAATGACTCCACACCAATTATTGAGCTTTAACTGAAACTGTACAAAATAGCTGCAGACAACAGACAAACTTAAGCTTTTCCTCTGGATTTAGTCATGAAGAAAACTACCCTGAAATTAAATTCTGCTGCATTTTACAGTATAAATGTAACAGACACACACTTTCTGTACCAGGAAAAAGCTCCAGCTGCTATGTACTGCTTGTTCAAGTGCAAGACTATGCTCACCAGGGTGCTGCCTAAAGCAAAACACCCAACTTGTACAGAGAGAAAAAAGTAAGTGATGTAAAACAATTCTAAAGACAAGCCATTTACCTTTCTTCAGTACTGAATATCACTCACTTAATGCAGATTTCCCCTTTAGAAAACACCAGGAATAGCAACAGATTCAGCTGTTTTTCTTCCCATGGCCAAAGGTTCACCAGCCAGCCTTAGTACACCACAAGGTAAAAGGATTATAGTCTGCCAGCAGCATCAATTCTCTTGAATAGCCTAATTTCAGTTACTAAAATATATTCCTTTTCCATAGGAAATAAACTACTTAGGTATGTATATACATTCTGAATTCAAGCTACCAAAGTAGGGTGACCCGCTCAAAGCTGAGAATACCTTTCATCACTTCCTCATAACCTGTAGGCAAAAATAAGTGTAAAATCAGTTGCAGTTCTGTCAAATCGCTACATGTTTTCTGGCATTGTCTGCAGATGCCCATATTTATTTTATAAATCTGAAATGGTTGGGGAAAACTTTGTAATAGCACATTTCCCATATCTTAATCCTTAATCATACCTTGTTTTAAGTGATTGTCCTCTGCCTCTACATCTGAGGTGGTTAATTTTGGTGTTCCAGATGCGGCATATGCATTTTGTTCACATACATGCTGAATTATCACTTTGCATCAAAATAATTATGACTGTGATGTTAAAAGACAGATTTTTTTATTAGCTACCTCCAGTCAAATGAAAAAATCAAACTGAGTAGTAAAACCTATGCCAAAAAAGGCAGTCACTAA